CACCTTGGCACAAATATTCACTGTTAAAGCTGAAACTCAGGAGGGAGAATTATACTTGGGACAGACTTGGAATTTGTCAGTATATAAATAGATATCATAGTTTCAAAGGTAAAGGGGCTATAAAGAACTGGGCAAATAGGAAGAGTGATCTTTCAAAAGGCAATTTCCATAAAGTAGTATCCTGAAAGCATTAGCTGACACAGGCTGTTCATGTGTCAAGCTTGTCTTAAGCTCTTTATCTCAGGTTACAGATGAAGAAACCATGAAATTTCTTTATTCAAGGTGATACAATTAAAAAGTGGCAGAGCTACACTTTGAATCCAGGCAGTATGGTTTGAAAAACCATGTGTTTACCCAGCATGCAACAGCTCAGAGTGCAATGAGGACGAACAGCGATGACAAAGTAGGAAGGACCAGACAATTCTTTCCAACGTCATGGTCTTCCCATTCCTATTCTCCATTTAAAACATTTAAAAGACTTGCATATAAGCTGAAAAGAACAGTGAAGAAAGAAAGGTAAAGCACAGGACAATGGAAACAGTCTGGGAAAGTATGAAGACTCCAGCAAGATGGTGGTATAATCACAATGTGTATTACTATTTTTAGTATGGCATTCAGAGACAGTACTGTAAGTACAAAAGGAATCTGGAATTAACATTTTATTTCTCTCAAGCTTTTCCTATGAATGTTTTCTTTAAAAACAGACACTGAAATAATTCTCCTGATAAAATATGTAATATTTAGAAAAATTCTTAGCAATTACTCACAACCTTCTATTCTAATAATGCAAATTCCAGTATACACAAAACAGGGTATATAACTGAAGTACTAGAAATAACCGTTGTATATTACACTAAATGTTTTATGCAATTATCCTTCCCCTTTTAAAAGAGTATTTCAACATGTGAAAAAGTATCAGTAGCATGGAGGGGATTCTTATTCACACTTATAGTGTATGAATGGTGTGCTTTTTGCTAGATTTCTCAAACAGATTTCTATGGAGAAAAAAATAGGAACAAGACGAGGTATAATGTTTATAGCTCTGGTAATTTCATGCTATATCACAGGAAGGACAATCTGAAACAAGATGAATAGTAATGTTCTCTACAAAATAAAACTAAAAGGCAACATCTGCTGGAGTGTGGTAGAGTACTTATGTAACATGCGCATGGCACTGAATTTGGTCTCCAGCACTCAAGGCAGAAAAAAAAGTAATAAAATATCCACTTCTTAGTAAAGCCCCTCTTATTTTCTGATGGCTTTCTAGGGTATTTGGGCAGATAAACTAGTAAAACAATTAGTTTATTTTTCTTAGTTGTTTGTACCCTTCTCATGTGAGCTATGCTCATTTTTCTCTAGATGAATTTAGTCAAATTGTTTCATGCACCACATAAGCAAAAACTGCTTGGAAAAAAAAAAAAAAAACTCAGGTGAACAAATTAATGTCATTCTAAATCAGTGCTGCCTGATCCCAAGTGAGCCCCCAATCACACCCTTCTAATCCTCTGAGAATGATGTAATGCTGTTTTTCGGGGATAAAAGAATTCATTGTAACTCTAGAAAACATTTGCATTCACAATTCTTTTTTTCTCCTACAAACTTAAGTGTCCTTCCTATATAAAAACACCATAGGGCTTTTGAAGATGTCCTCCTTGGATTTTTAAATACCATCTGCACCATATTTCCTTCATCCATTTTAGGCTTCTGACCTATACTCTCAAACAAGAATATCTGGCTGGGACACACTTCATCCCTGTCTACACTCTGCCCTCTGACCTGCGGCAGGTATCCCAGCCTCAGAGCCCTCATCCAGTAGCTGATGGAAGCAGAGGCAGACATCCACAGATATACACTGAGCTTAAATCTGGAACTTAGTTGCAGAGAGGGAGGAATGAAGATCGAAGGGGTCGGTACCAGGCTGGTGAAACCCACAGAAACAGTTGGCCTGAACAAGAGGGAGTATATGGACCCCAGACTACTTTCTGGGAGGCCAGTACAGGACAGATCCAGATCCCTGACCATGGATGTCAATGAGGAGGCCTCTGTACTCTAGGGGCCCCTGGTAGTGTATTAGTATTTTTCCCTGGTGTAAGAAGGAACTTTAAAAGCCCTTCCCTTGTTTCAGCCTGGATACATGGCCGGGACACATAGGGGAGGGCCTAGGCCCGGCCCAGGATGATGTGGTGGACTTTGGGGAGACCCCATTGAGGGCCCTACCCTGCCTGGGGAGTGGAGGGTGGGTGGAGTGGGGGGATGGGTCGGGGGTGGGGGAGTAGGGGTGAAGGGAGGGATAGAGAGAAGGGATTGATATGTAAAACAAGCTTGTTCCTAATTTGAACTAAATAAAAAAAAAGAATATCTGGCTTATGGGCATGTACTTGTATGTTTCATAAAACACCATCAAACAATCATAACTAAAATTAATTCATAATCTTCTCCTTCC